TATTTACATTTACATGACCATGAACCTATTCTTTGAAAAGAAATGAAACTATACTACTGTTATATGGTCTTTAACTTCCGATTTTCTTCGAACCGATGTTACCTAGTATCTCTTATTTATTAGTAAATACTGTATTTTAATGTTGTTTGTAATATTAAGATATGTGAGTTATATCCATTCTTCCCTAGTTTAAATGAGTTGTACACAGTCAAAAATGTCCGATTTTACGCGTTTTAAACCGTTGATCTCGAAAATACGTTTTAATCGTTTGTCTCTTCTACCATTTTAACGATGTGAAAGCTGAAAAAATGCGATTGTTAAAACGCCAAAATTCGAACATTTTTGACTGTGTAAAATGCGTTACAAGATAAAGCTCAAAAGAGTCGTTATAACGCGTCAATTTAATTTTTTTGACTGCTTGGGTATGATTATTACTTACAACGGCATTATTTGTGATTGTATTCAGTTCTTATAATAATGAAAATTTTAAATTTAAAGAATTAGGACAATGAAAAGTCACGAATAAGTTAACAATAATAAAGGTGCAAAACAAGATGCTTGTTTCAAAGAAAAAGAATTCTTCTTAAGATATAGAAATAAAAAAGGGTCTTTCCTGCCAAGAGAGAATCAGGGGAAAAAGGATCGTCCTACAGAATTTTTTCGCGCTATGTTTTGTATTGATGCGACGAAGTCAAAGAAGATATGTGAGTTTCACATTTGAGCCCCAAATGGGGCTATCCTGGCATGTTTTCTTTGATTCGACATGTATTCACCTCCGATGTAATCAAGATATTCTAAAAATTCTTCTAGGAACTATCAGTCAAATAAAAATACAATTTGAAATTCAAAATACGAAACCGAATCGTTCAGGGCTAAAAATTTCTGATTTAGTACTATTTTGATTGATTTCAAGCTTTCATTTAATACATGAGTCAATCGTATTTGTATTGATGTTTATTAAAATGAATCAGGCTTTTTCGATTTTTCATTTCAATATCGATCTTACAGGAAACATTTTTCTAAAATAAGCCGTTATTAAAATCAATTATCTTGAAGGATTATCTATAGCAAAGAAAATAGCTCAACAGATGATAATAAACGAAAACTATGCCTGAATAGATAGCTCGCAAAAGTTTAATGAAGACATGAAATTTATTTATAGTATTCTAATTTGTAACGATTGATATATAGAAATATATGATTAGCCAATGGATTCAATGTTATAGTTTATATTAGTACTTCAATAGCGTAAGAATCACTGTATGACAATATATTAGAAAAGAAGAAAGTACTACTTGACTAATAGACTAAAGATCAAATGCCTGAGTACCCAGTCGTGACTGGGTGCCAAGTTGGACTGGGTATCCAGTTCACCAGTCAGGGCTGGGACTGGTGCATCCCTAGCCTATGTCTACACATACATCAACAATATTTAGCAAGTATGTGCACAATCTTTCATCGATGTGAACGCAAATACAGTTTACTCTGTGATGCATTCTTAAGCATCCAATGCCATAGGAATTGATATATGTCTATGTGGCATTACTGCTGCTTGTACAAGCATTTTATAAGCTTTTTTGTTTGATTAGGATGAATCAGGATAATTTTTGTTTCTACATCAAAGTGCGTACTTCACTTAATATTCGAGCAAGAATTATTCATGATGAATTATGTTCTGCTTGCGGTGATAAAGCTTCGTCTCTGAAAATAATTGTAAAACAGTATTAATGGATTCAAGAAGGTTGATAAGATATTGAAGACGATGCACGAGCTACTTGTTTCTGCATTTCATTTTTGTTCTGCTGCCACTACATTTTTTTACACTTTAATATACATAGACAGCTACGCATCTGAGAAGACAAAAAACAAAGAGAAAACAAGCAAAGAGAAAATAAATACTGAAGACAATATGAACTGCTTTAACCGTCATATATCATAACTTAATAGTTTCTATTGGAATTTTCGTATTATGATATTAGTTGAAGAATGACCAGAGCGAATAGAAAACTAGAGCATTGTTTTTATTAGCAGACTATATTGAGAGAAAGTTTCTTTAAACTCTAGATAAAAAATTAAAATAACTTCGCTGCCACTTTCACATTTCTCTAACAAGGGAACATTCCCAGGTGTCGAAACCTTTTTCAGTCGGGGTTTCGCGCATCTTGTAGTCCTTGGTGAACTATGTCTACCATAAAAAAAAAGTTTGGGTTTCTGGCTCATTCTTACTGAGATACCGAGTTTTTAGTAAATTCTCTCTATAGTGTCCTAGTTTTGCAGCAAAGCTATATTCTTGAATTTTGACCTGAAACTTCGTGTACATAAATGCTTCAGCTAGGCTAGCTTCTATAAAACAAAATTCAGAACTTTTCAACAGAGTCTCGCTGTGATAGGAAGCTTTCAAAAAATGCATCTTATATATATTATTTATGAAAAGTATCTGAACCTTGATAGTTCTATGTCTCGAAGAGACTTTCTCCAAGAGTTCTGAAACTTTCTATGCAAGCTAGCCTAGTTGGGACCTTTATGTACGCGAAGTTTTAGGTCAAAATTCAAAAACATAGCTTTGCTGCAAAACTGGGACACTATAGAGAAAATTTACTAAAACTCGGTATTTCGGCAAGAATATGCCAGAAACTCAAACTTTTTTTATGGTAGACATAGTTCACTGAGGACTACACGATGCACGAAACCTCGACTGAAAAGCGTTCCGACACCTTGGAATGTTTCCTTGTAAGTAATGTATACGAGTAACATCTTTCGTGACGAATATATCAGTACGTCGAAGTTTCACGCTGAAGTATAACCTGTAAAACCTTTTGATTTAGAATATACTCAAAGTAATCGTGTCTCATATTTAAATATTACAAAAATTGTCTTCATAGCTTTTCTTCTCTTAAATTCTTTCTTTCTGTTAATTTGAAGTGCCGTTTCACTTTTCTGAGCCATTTTATATGCCAAATGTTGACTTTCGATCAGCTCTATCTGACGCTACCAATTGTGGCTATAGAAAATGTTTCTATATTGCTATTCATTCTGATGAATGTTAACTTAACTATGAAGCTGACAACAAGAAAGGGTTTTTTTTAGACATTCTATTTGTGGTTTCTCCGGATTGACCAAGTACTACACGTGCTCAGACATTCTTATCAAGCTTAAGTACTACAAGAGAATTTTTCAGTTTCGTTTCGGTTAGGAAAGAGTAACGTTTTATGCTTTCTAAGTTTCAATAGATTTCTTGAATGTCCTTCTTTGTTCAACATTGTTGACATCTAGTACAAGATGCTAAGAAAGGAATTTAGTGAATACGTATGATTATGTAAGATATTATATTCAGAGACTACGCTGTGCTGAGATCTGAAAGATACTCGGTTAAAGTCAAAATATGGTATAAGCATGGCAGTTTACAGTTCAAATATGATTCTCTGTGTTTGCTTTTTCTCTTTGGAGTAACTGTTTATCGACATTGCAGACGTCGATATGAAATGAAGTTCACATTGCTGTTAATATTCGAGTTACAATATACATACGACGACAAAACGATATTTTTACAGTGATCCATGATCGATTATTTTGACAGTCCATAACTAGATCATAAACTGCAGTTAACAACTAAAAACAAAATGTATTTATCGCATGACTTTTCACCGTATTTCATGATAATCCACAATTCTGTTTTATGGATCGTATTTTTGCTAGCAACGATCATTTTGTTTTTCCTCCCTATTGTCGTCGTATTAGTGGTTTATGGAAAACGGCAATGTAGCAGTACTATTTTCCACTGTTTTATAACGCTAACGGCTGTTTACGGCGCTGTTTCTTTTTGCACCAGAGATATAAAGTGTCAGTGTGACGACATGGGGTAATTTTATTTCAAGTGTGAGTATGACATTTACGATATGGCGTAGACACGATCATAAATTATTGACTAGACTTACGATAAAATACGATATGTAAATGGTCAGTATTTGATAGTTTACGGCTGTTGATTCGCTGGAAGCAAATGGTATATGGTCACTGTAACAAATCACCTGGTTAGGCAGCAGAGTCCATTATTATAAAAATATTTTGAAAGAATATTATAGCTCTTGCTACCTATGAGACGTTAAGCATCCTCAGAAAAGTTTACATTTGATTAGTTTTCTTTTTAATGTTTTCAACATCATCAACAATGAACTCATAAATTCGAGTAAGTGCCTCAAAAAAAAACACAATTTTCAATGAACACAATAAATATGTATACACTCTATTCATTGATACTTCTACTGAATATATTATACTTTGTTGGCAAACTAAAATTGACCAAAACAAAAGTTACGATACACGTCTAGAAACATTTTTTCAGAATGGTTGTTGCATCACACAAACATTCTAATCATTTAAGAAACATATTATTCAAAATATTATGATTTATGTGTGCTTTTCAATAAATAACTTCGATTTATTCATGGTCTTTTGATATCATTTTGTTTTTTTTGTATGAAAAGATAAATTTATCTTTGAATACATGTCGTACTCAAAGTAACGTTTCGATTTTTTGAACTGCGAAGGATTTTTCAACAAATATTCAACAGCGTCTAGAGCGTTCAATGATAATGTATGAATTACAAAAGCAATCTTTATTCTGAATATATGTGCAGCAAACGCATAAGAAGAATGATGAAAGTATTCAATAAAATATAAATCATGTTTATAACATTGTTTTAATACAATGGTATTACTAACGAGTTTAATAAGTCTTTTGTTTTAGGTTTATATATTAAATAAAATACTGCAAATAAGATATTGAGTAGATTTTGAATAATAAAAAATTCATTGAAAGAAAACGCGCTAACAAGAAATGTTTGTCAATAAATTTTTTTCGTTATGACGAAAATGTGGCAAGATTAATTATGGTTTGGATCCGTGTTTAATACAATTTATACATGATTAATAGATTTAGTGATTTCGATATCTTCAAGAAAAATATGTTTATAAAAATAACAAATTATTGATGAAATCCAATGAATAGAGGATCATCAATACCAACCACCAATTCAATTGCCCAAAATTGTCGATCAATTCTTAGAGAACGTTGCCGCATTCAACAAGCTAGTAATTATACTACTAGCAGGTTTGCCACTTTTCCACAAGAGTACGTGAATGGCTGTGAGCATTTTCATTCTTAACCAAGATAAAAGTTTATGGCTCAAAGAAAAGATCACTTAGCCAAATAGCATAAGGGAATGAGTGACATTAGATGAAATATAAAATTTATTTTAACAGCAGCTAAAGATAAGTAATTGACGAAATACTAATGAAAATGAAAGAATTTACTTTTGCAGAAAAATTGCAAAAGTAAATTCTGTATAACCTTTGTCTAGACAGTCTTCGTACAAAATATTTATTCATGTTTCAGCCGCTTAGAAGTCACTTGAGAAAATGAAAAATAGTCAGTTAGAATTAGAATCTGATGTTCTCTTTCTAAATGTTTACTCAGAAGTTTTTTCTAATTTGAAGTTGAATCACTGACAGCAAATCTTTGATGGGGAGCAAAAATGACGTTTGTACAAAACACTAGTTTCAAAAGTCTTCGTAAATATGTTTACTGATTTTTCGAACATAAAAATGTAATTGAAGAGAGCCGACAGTCATAGATTAGAATTAGAATTTGATGCTCTTTCTAAATATATCTTTAGAATTTTACTCTGACTCACGACTAGTTAGCCGTAAGCATATACCTAAATCAATAAAAAATGCCGTTTGCACCATGCAAATAGACTTTTTTCTTCCCATTCATAATTTCTCTAAAGGGTATTTAGAGATAGGTTTTACTTTCTATTATTGTAGTGAATTTAATGTTCTACAAATTCATGGGTCGCAATAAGCAAGTACTCAAAATAATCAAAAGCTAGAAACATTTTTCGATGTGCTACTCTTTACATGAGATTAATATTTTTCAAAATAATCGGTTTTTGCAATCTTCGGTATTTGAAATGCAAAAGATTCTAATGATTTGCAATTATATGTTGAAAGCAAACCAAATTGGGCATTTCGTAGAGCAATTTTCGTTGTACAAACTGGTGTATAAAAACACTTTCCTAAAATTTGAACTATGGCAATTTTAATAAAAATACAAATATTGACTACATAGAATATTCTGTACAAGGGTCATTTTTAGTCTCCATCAAAGATTTTTCTCTCGATGATTCAACTTCAAGTTAAAAGAAAATTCTGAAAATATCTAGAGAGAGCATCAATTTCTGATTCTAACGGACTACCTCTCATTTTCTTAAGTTACTTCGAAGTGGTCAAAAAATGAACAAACATTTTGTACGAAGACTTTCTTGAAAGGAGTTAGACTAACTTTATGTTGAATAATCCTTGACATTGTGCAATTACATTGTTGCACTATTTAATAGTGACTATATATATAACATTTCCATCGAATGTTTTTTCCTTCTGCGTATAGTGTACGTATAGGCTGTTTCCAACTAGCGAACTAATGTATTTTACTACACGATGGCGTAATTCTGCATTCGCTCTGTTGTTTTCCATCTATATCGATATAGGTAGAAAACAACAGAACGAATATAGAATTACCTCATTCCAGAACGAGCATTACGACAGTGATAAACGATCGTATACAACCGTATTTCGACGTATTACTTGACACCAGAACTACGATCGTATATCGTCATGTTGTATATGACGAGATACGACCACTGTAAACGATCGTATACCGTCGTATAAAACATTGTTTGTCATCGTATTCCGCATAAATCTTTTGTACCTCCCCCTCCCCACTCTCGAAATAATAGAAAATCCAGTATTTGTGGGTGCCTGGTCTGGCTGAAGATCTCAATTCTTTTTTCTCATACATCATCAATGCTGCATGAGAAAATAATCGGGATCTCCAACTAGACTAGACTCTCCAATTATTTGAATTAATACTTACCCTTCGATTTATTCTAATAAACAATCTGAAAATAAGAAGGAATTATTTGAATAATAAAATACTTACTGTTCGATATCTCGATGTGAATAATCTGGAAATAAAAAATAAAATTATTTAGATAAATTACCACTTACTCATCGATTTATCTTTTTGAATATTCTAAAATTAAAAAGCGAAATTTATTTAAATAAATTAATACTTTCTATTCGTTGTGCCATCGAGATGAATTAATATATAAATAAATTTCTTTTATGTAACAAAATTTATTTGCTGTTCATTGTGCGGTTGTAACGGATATAAATATTAAAAAAAATATTTACTATGTAAAGGAAAAAACATTCGATGGTTATGCTATATATACATAGACACTATTGAATAGTGCAAGAATGTAATTGCTCAATGTCAAGGATTATCCAACATAAAGTTAATCTATACAGAATTTACTTTTGCAATTTTTCTACAAAAGTAAATTGTGTCGTTTTCGTTAGTCTTTCTTTATACATTGTGAATTACTTATCTTTAACTGCTGTTAAAGTAAATTTTATACACTTTCTAACGAGCCATTCTGACAGAGTCGCCATGTAACGACAAACTGGATGAGTAGCTAGCCGTCATTCTCGGCAATGATATTTATTGAGCTACTCACATGTCCAGAATGTAACTACTTCACATACAACACACGTTTATATAGGAGAGAGAAGAGAGAGAGAGAGAGAGATGAACACAGGAAAGAACAATAGAGAGAGGAAAGAGGAAAAGAAGATCAGTGGAGTGTGACATCAATATCGGCACACACTTAGCCAAATTTCTTTTGTTTTTGAATGATAAATGTTGAATGAATTTTATTATGTAATGCTTCTAGAGAATATTTATCTGATAAATGGAAAGCTAGCCATACTATTTCAACAAATCCTATTTGTTCACCATATGATGTTGATAATCTTCAAGTGCCAGTTGTATGCTGCGAAGAACCATCTTATTGCAACACTCTTTTTGGTATTTATCCTTCGATGTCATCTAGTGGTTATGTCTATCATACAAGTTGCATTGATGGAAATACAGCTTCAATGCAACCCATATTAAATAAACAAACAGGTCATGTTGAATACTTATCGATATCATCTGAAAATTGTATACAAATTATTACAGATGCAATTATTACCAATATACGTTATAAAGTACCTAAAGAAGAAATAGCTCTTTTATGTTGTTGTCTTCCATCATTAATTCGACAGATTATGTGTAAAAGTCCATGGTTAACACCAAACGATATTATTCAATGGCTCAGTTCAGATATTATAGTAAATAGATTTTTTAATTATTGTCAATAGAAAGATAGAATATTCGAGTCTTGCAAGACCGTCCAGAAAACCGAAAAATCCCGTTTGTCTCGTTCCACAAAATTATCGACATTGTACCGAAATTTTTTCTAAACTAGAAAAACGAGATTCCAGACAATATAGAAAAGCAAATGTGCCGCATTTATTTAAACCTTATATGGAAATTTATCGTACACTTTAAATTTTTTATTTCTAATAAATATGTTAATATTTGAATAAATAACAGAAAGAAGAACTAGACTGCTATTCGAATGAACTCCGACCAGAAAAGGTGTCTGACTGCACAAGCTTCAAAAAAATAACAGAAGACGATTCTGTATAACATATGCAGTTCGAAATTTTAGACTTCCCTAGACGAAGTCATAATGAATTTCAATCGCGTTCAACTATCTTGGCTCAGCTGACAAGTTAACAGATGATGAATCTGAAGCAACTATTGCATAAAGCATCTGAAATATCGATGGTCTTTTTCAAATTAAATCATTTATGAATATATCAGGAAACTCTCAGTTGTTAATTATCTTTTTCCACACATTTATATCCCTCGAACGGAATCGAGTTTTTAAAAAATGATTTTCAGATATTCATTTGTCACATCCTTACGATCTCGGCAAATTTTTTCTTGTATTAAAATAACGGTTACGTGTGGAGAACGACTAGTTCACTTTAATCATGATTAATACGTCGAGAAGAAGAAGAAAATAAATGTCATGTTTACTAAATCAGTGAAAGGCAACAAATTGACTACTCCTCTTTTTGCAGTCAGCTATCTTTCAGCGAACGAGACAAACGGGATTTTACGAGACAATTCGAAAAATTTTATCTCTCAGGACTCGATATAAAATATTGTTTTGATTAGAAAGAAGCGATGGGTTATTTTGATAAAAACGACTTTGAAGATGAAAATACATCTCGTAAAGTAAAACAAAGTCATACGAATAAAGATAGATTTTTTCGAAAAGAAAAAGATAAAAAAGTTAATGATAACATTTCAATGAAATCACGTCAAGATGATAACGATAGTTTATCATCATATAGAAGTAGAATAAGTGAAACATCTCAACATTCAATTTTATCAAAACACTCATCACAATCAATTTTTAATTTACCCAGTAATATTCATAAAAAACAAAAAAAATATATAAATAAAAGTAAGTTGTCTTTGATCTCTATAAAAGCCTATCATTGATAAGTTATCAGAATTGTTTTATCGTTTAAGAACGTTGGAAAAATCCTGGTAAAAATAAAACAAAAAGTCGTAAACAATCGACAAATTCATTAATTAATCAACAAACTAATGAATGGAAATCAAGTAATCATTATTTTATTATACTTTAAACATAGAATACGATAAATTATTTTTGTTTTCTTTCTTAATAAATAAATTTATTCGACTGACAGACATTGAAAATAAATCGAAAAAACTCGGTAAAAATAGTTCAATTGATATCGAACAAGATGAAAGAAGCATATCGTCGCGTAATTATTATATTCAAACTAATCTTGATTTTATTTTTATTCTATTAGATTCAAATTTGTCAACGGATTCATTTGATTCAAAAGAAAATCTCGATAAAAAAATTATTCAATCAAATGATAAATCAAAACGAGACAACCGATTATCACCTCATCAAATTGAATATCCGGTCAAAAAAGATTCAAATGCTAGTAAAGATCTTGAAAAATGTTTAGCCTTTTATCATAAAGTTCAAGAATATTTTGACGATGATATAGCTGCTATGCTTCTTAAATGTTGTTTATGTTATGGTCATTGTTCAGATAATAAATAAATAGGATTTTTTTCTGAGATATTTCGAAATTTCTGACGAAAAAAAAACACAAATATACAAATAAAACGAATGTCAGATTTCTTTTTTTTTTTTAATCGAGTTATTTTTTTATTCTTTCATACTGTGTACATATATGAAAAGAATTGAAGAAAAAAACTTGAGACATTTATTTGATCACTAATCTTAGTATTAAATGTCAAAGAAAAAGAATAGTGTTAGTGCAATAAAACAGCACGAAAATACAGATGAACAAACAAAGAATAGATTATTTTCCGATATTGATAACAAATCTATCGAAAACGTCAGCTACACATTTGATTATCAATCATCACAAATTGATCAAACAGTCAATCAACACTTAATACCAAAAGGCGTTGGTAAGTTATGCATTAAATAACTTCATCATACTATATTTATATACATATATATGAATAGTTGATATGGATGAATCAATTAACACTCCTATAAGAACTTCAAGCTCTCATCGTCAACATCATACAAAACCATACACAATCATTCGACCGACGCTGAAAGATGATAGAGATTATGTTTATTTGCCACCTATTAATCATCATTCTGATAAACATTATTCATATGAATATGATTATAAACAATCTAATTATCATCATCATCATCATCATCATCATCATCATCATAACAATAATAATCATTATCGTTATGATATACATGGAGGAACATATGATCCTCGCTGGTGGTATATGCCTATCAATTCAGTTCATGGACCGAAATCACCGAGACGATTCAATCACAATTATATTCCTCCAAAATGGTATGAATTGCCTAGCAGATATTAAAATTTTAATAAATGTTTGCCAATTCATGTCATACACACACACGCAAAATCATTTCTATGTATTAATTTTCAACGCATGTACTATAAAAAGAAATACTTTTAAATATAAAATAAGTTGCCAATTAATTCTATTTAACTTGTTGTTAGTAACGAAAAGAAAAAAAAACAGAAAGGAAGAAAGAATAAGATTTCTTTAGCTTATGTAAATCACCACCACCTTGTTGTTGTTGTTGTTGTTATTATTACTGTTGCGACTCTTATTTAAACATTAAAAAAACGCATTTTCAAATGATTTAATCGACTTTTTTTCTGATTTTGAGAGAGAGAGAGAAAAGAAGCCAAACGAAAACGTTTACTTTGTCGGTGAAAAATGCAGCCAAATCCAAATCGTACTAATCGATTAGCTTTAGACAATACTACTCATTTAAACTCGTATGATCCATCAGCACCATATCGTGCAATGATGATGCCACCACCTCCTCCAGTCAACTCTAATATGCCTCCTACACTTAACCCGAATATTCCAGCTAGCAATCCATATTATTCGAATCCTAATCTATCACAAAATGTTCCTCCTATGACTCAAGATCCAAGAAATGCTAATCTCACACGTATACCACGATATTATTATCCACGTTATGATGGTGCCTACGACACTTATGTTCTTGAAATGAGAGAAACGGAACCTTATGCACAGCCACCGGATAATCCCCAATTAATTCAAAATGAGTATGTTCCTTATTCTCAACCAGGTCCATTGCCAGTCGATCCATATGCTTCGGGTCCATATTATTCTTATTCTACACCATATGTTGTTCCATCAACAAGTAATGTTCCTTATGAAAATCCTGATCGATATAGACAAGTACGATCAAATTCTGATTTAATAACTTCACATAAAAAAGATGGTGATTTAAGTCGTCTTGAAGTATATCATTTTACTCCTAAGCAGAATACAACATTATCAAGTGGAGTAAATGCTGTACCACCAGTAATACAATATCATGTTTATCCATATCCGCCAGCAGCAGGACCACAATCACAATCAATACCAGCTAATCAACAACCATCTTACTACTATCCACAGCAAGATCATCAATCGGATGTTCCTCATCATTTATCAGATCAATTTCAAGGACAGATACCTACTTCAGAAACAAAAGCACGTAGCTCTCAAACTGATCAGCCTATCACAAAGACTCGTGGAGTTTCTCCAATATATTTTTCTGGTGAAGCATCTATTAATGATGATGATGGTTATCCAACTATACATAAAAAAGAAGTTCATACTGATCGATATAATATTAAAACAGGAAGATTAAATCGACGATTTTATGACAATCATAGTTCATCTGCTTTGCCTGATTGTCGTTGTTTAGATTGTCAACGAGAGAGATCAAAAGTACTTAACTATTATCCTGATTAAATGATAAATATATCTTAATTATCTTTCATATTAATTCAACATTATTTTTCAAATTTTCTTTTCTTTTATATTAATTAAATCAGATGTGTTTTATTTAAACATTATTTCTTAGTCAATTTTTCTCTGTCTTATGTCTTATTATATGATTCGTTAAATTCAACATGTGAAATATTCTATAAAACAAATATCATCATTATCAAATAATAAGACTATACTCATACTAAGATTTTAATAAAACCTCTTTTATACGAATAAATATGTTTCATCATTGGTCAATTATTATTTTTATAAGAATTTAAATAGTTTTTCATCAATATCAAATAAATGAATCCTGTCTAATGTGAATTATTCAACTGATTTTTGTTTTACTTTTACTATGTTCTACAAAGAAAATAATCTTACCAAGCATCTATTATATTTATTTATTATTACATATTTATTCATAAATAGAGATAAAAAGACAAAAAAAAACGCGTAGATAAATGAGATGCCATTAAAAATAAACCTTTCATATTTTCTTTTATTAATATAATCAACATTGTGTAGGCAGATAGTTTATGGAAAGAAGCACCGGATGCTTGTGAAAATCGATTTTAGCATGAGAAAAAAACCAACTGACACCCCACATAGTTCGATATTGACTGATAAAGCAGATCTATAAAAAGCAATGAATTAAAACGAAACCATTTCATTCTTTCAGTCAACTACTAAACGAAAGGGTAACATAAATATAATCGATTTATTTTCTCACATAACTTTTTTTAATCCTATTTTTATTTAAATATCTATCTAGCAAAGAATGCGTTCCCAATTTATTCTCGTACTTGTTGTTGGTCTTCTAGCATCGACTTATGGTTATCATCTTTCTGATGAGAAAAAACGTTCGATTGAAAGCGAACCTCGTCTTTTTCAGTTTCTCGAAGATTTCTATGCTCAAGTTGTCTATAAACCACTGAATCACATTGTTCAAAGTCTGTATCATTAAAGATTTATCTGTCAAGTTCAAAAAAAGGGATGTTTTTATTGAAGACGTGGCTCTGTTGGGTGCACAAGTTTTAGCTGGTATATCTCAAACTGGTATTCCTGCTCCTGGTGGTCGCACAATTCATCTATCTGATCGTGAACTTCGAAATATCTTTGATGATTTATGGACCAATGTTGTAAAACCACCTCTTGAAAATGCCATTCAAGGTGAATGAAAATCCATTCAATATATAACATTATCTATTATTAAAGCAATTATCTTTTAGGACTTTCACTCATGGCTGCTCAAGTTCTCGCTGGTGTTGGTACCAATGGTATTAACTTGTCGAATATTTTTGGTAAACGTGATTTAACTGAAGAAGAAGCACGTTTTCTTGATTCATTTGCTAATGCAATGCAAAATGTTTTCTCCCAAGTTCTTCAAAAACCATTAGAACAGGCTGTGCAATGTAAAACAACTGAATCTTTTCAATCAATATTTTAAAAGAGTTTATTTTCTATTATTTAGCTGGTGCTTTGATGTTAGCTCAAGTTCTCGCTGGTGTTGGTACCAATGGTATTAATTTATCAAATATTTTTGGTAAACGTGATTTAACTGAAGAAGAAGCACGTTTTCTTGATTCATTGGCTAATACAATGCAAAATGTTTTCTCCCAAGTTCTTCAAAAACCATTAGAACAGGCTATGCAATGTAAAACAATTGAATCCTTTCGATCAATATTTTAAAAGAGTTTATTTTCTATTGTTTAGCTGGTGCTTTGATGTTAGCTCAAGTTCTTGCTGGTGTTGGTACCAATGGTATTAGTTTATCAAATATTTTTGGTAAACGTGATTTAACTGAAGAAGAAGCACGTTTTCTTGATTCATTGGCTAATACAATGCAAAATGTTTTCTCCCAAGTTCTTCAAAAACCATTAGAACAGGCT